CAGTCATTGTTTTGTTCTTGCCTTCACTGCCACTGGCGATGAAGTCCTCATTGTGCCCTCCGAAACARGAATGAATGGTGTAGAAACCCTGGGTCACCCCTTGGTACTTCCTGACCTGAACCCGGTCCTGTAGGTCCCACAGGTGCACCCCCTGAAACACAATACTTCAACTCARAGCGATGTTTAAAACAACAAATGTTTAGTAATAACGAGCTACTGACCTGAGTAGCAACATTAAGAAGAGCCAGACGTCCATTTTTGGAGACAGTGAAAGACATGATGGGATGGTCCTCCTGTATTCTGGAACAGACAGAAGATGATCCATAAATAACTCTGCATCCTTCAAACYGAATACTGCTTTAGTGACCAGCAGATAATCAACTAGTCTACATAACACACAGTTAAACCAAGATTAAATACTGGACTTAGTCCTTCTCTGCTCAATCTGTATAAATAGGTTGTGTCCTGAGCTTTACTTTTAGAATAACAGAAAGTAAAGTCTTGATATATGTTTTTATTTTATTTTGGCCTTTCAGTAGTATTTAGGCCAGTAATAGTATCTCACACAAAAAACTAATACTASAATAAATTTTAAGAAAAAACTACTAAATAGGAAGAACTGAAAAAAGCAGTTCAAAGTGTGACACAACACAACCAGATGACACAAGTGATACATCCACTCAGACACARTCATTAGATGTGTGAGGCACCACAGTGATGGCACTGTCTCCCAAACATGAACCACAGATAAGAAGTTGAGGGAGGATGGGTGGATGGATGAGTGGAGACAAATTCAGAACTAGAATTAAATATTTAATAAAAAATAAATAAATAAAGCCATAAAATACATTCAGTTGGACCAAATTACAGATCTTTATTGTCGTATAATTTATTATCCATTTTCTAATGGATCTGGCCACACCTCAGGGGCAAGACGTCACATCGATTGGGACGGCTTTCCTACCATGTGATCAGATCTCTACACAACAGTCTGAGTTCTAATGAAAAAATAATTAAATATTGATCTCCAGTGGTGGGCACAAGCCTGCTAAAGTGCAAATCCGCTAATTGCGGACCTAAATATTTCATTTGCGCTTTAGCGGACTTCCTAATTATTATAATTCATAAGCGGATTTGCACCTTCTAAAATGAAAACGCAGTACCGTTAATAACTAACTATCTCCCAGACTTCATCCTCTTGAACAGCAGAAGGTATGGCTTATCATTTAAAACAGAAGCAGAACATCATCAGATATTAAAAGAAAGAAAACTCCCTAAAGAGTTCGTTATTTTCTTGAACAGTAGAGAGGGCTTGCTGTCAGCGACCAACACCATGAAGAAACATGCTGTAGTATTGAAACGTCACCCTCTCAGAGATATGGTAAAATAACACAGAGCTTTATCCTGTGACTAACTGTTCTGCATGACGGTTCTGAAATTGTACACACACACACACACACACACACACACACACACACACACACACACACACAC